TAAGGGCCGTTTCTTCAACTACAGTATCATCAACGTGCACTGCCCACACGAAGGGAGACCCGACGACGAGAAAGAAGCGTTCTATGCGCAGCTGGAGCAGGTGTACGACGGCTGTTCGCAACGGGACGTCAAAATCGTCATCGGTGACATGAACGCTCAGGTAGGACGGGAGGCAATGTATAGACCGACAATCGGGCCAAACAGCCAAACAGCGGCACTAGGTACTGCAATCCCAGACCGAAGAAATGACTGGTTTGACGGTGAATGCAAACTGTTAGTAGAGGAGAAGAATGCAGCACGGGCGAGAATGTTGCAACATCGCACGAGATTGAATGTGGAGCGATACAGACAAGCGCGGAACAGACAAAACTCGGTTTTCCGAAGGAAGAAGCGTCAGCAGGAAGACCAGGATCGCGAGACGATGGGAAATCTGTAACGCGTAAACGACACACGGAAGTTCTATGAGAAGCTAAATAGTTCGTGCAAAGGCTACGTGCCGCAAGCCGATATGTGCAAGGACTTGGACGGTAACCTTCTCACGAACGAGTGTGAGGTGATTGAGATGTGGAAGCAGTACTATGATTAGCACCTCAACGGTGAAGCAGCAGAAAACAAAGGTGGCACGGCAACAGACCTTGGAGCACGCGCAGAAGACGACAGGCTACCGGCCTCTGATCTTCAAGAAGTTGTCGTATGCCCAATCTACAAAAAGGGCGACAAGTTGGATTGCTGCAACTACCGCGCGATCACACTGCTGAGCGCCGCCTACAAGGTACTCTCCCAAATTCTATGCCGCCGTCTGTCACCATTTGCAAGAGAGTTCGTGGGGCAATACCAGGCGGGATTCATGGGTGCCCGCGCAACCACGGACCAAATTTTCGCGATTCGGCATGTTCTGCAGAAATGCCGCGAATACAACGTGCCCACACATCATTTGTTCATCGATTTCAAATCCGCATACGACACAATCGATCGAGATCAGCTATGGCAGATTATGCACGAGTACGAATTTCCGGACAAACTGACGCGATTGGTCAAGGCGACGATGGATCGAGTGATGTGCGTTGTTCGAGTATCGGGGACACTCTCGAGTCCCTTTGAATCTCGAAGGGGGCTACGGCAAGGTGATAGACTTTCGTGTCTGCTGTTCAACATCGCGTTAGAAGGTGTGATCAGAAGAGCTGGGATAGACACGAGTGGCATGATGTTGAGGAAGTCCATCCAGCTTCTTGGCTTCGCCGATTACATTGACATTATGGCACGGAACTTTGAGATAATGGCGGAAACGTACATCAGACTGAAGGCTGAAGCTAGACGGATTGGACTTGCCATCAACGCATGAAAGACAAAATACATGAAAGGAAGAGGTTCTAGGGAAGACAATGTTAGCCTCCCACCCCGAGTTCAGATTGACGGTGATGAAATCGAGGTGGTCGATGAGTTCGTGTATTTGGGCTCACTGGTGACCGCCGAAAATGATACCAGCAGAGAAATTCAAAGGCGCATTATGGCAGCGAATCGTGCCTATTTTGGACTCCGGAGGACGCTCCGGTCGAATAAAATTCGCCGCCGCACGAAGTTGACTGTCTACAAGACGCTTATTAGACCGGTGGTCCTCTACGGCCACGAGACCTGGACTATGCTCGTGGAGGACCAACGCGCCCTTGGTTTTTTTTTCGAACGGAAGGTGTTGCGTACCATCTACGGTGGAGTGCAGATGGATGACGGAACGTGGAGGAGGCTAATGAACCACGAATTGCACCAGCTGCTGGGAGAACCATCCATCGTCCACATTGCAAAAATTGGGCGACTACGGTGGGCTGGGCACGTCGTAAGAATGCCGCATGACGACCCAGTGAAAATGGTTCTAGAAAGTGACCCAACAGGAACAAGAAGAAGAGGCGCACAGCGGGCAAGGTGGATCGACCAAGTAGAAGGTGACCTGCGGACCCTTCGCAAACTACGAGGCTGGCGAACTGTGGCCATGGATCGAGTAGAGTGGAGACGACTTCTTCGGACAGCAGAAGACAACAAGGCCTTAGCCTGATTGGTAAGGTAAGCGTGCCCCTAGTAAGAAAGACATGGTTTGGCAAGCGATATGTGAGTGTGGAAAGTTGTCAACATTTGCCACTTGTGACGAAGGAGACGATGAACACTGAAATTTACGTTCGGGAGTGTTTGAATCGGTGTCTGCGGCCCATTATCCGTCAACATGATGGTCCAGTACTATTTTGGCCAGATTTAGCGTCACTACTCGAAAGACACGGTAGCTTGGTACAAAGCAAATAATGTGCAATACGTGCCAAAAGAGATGAATCCTCCGAGTTGTCAGGAGAGTCCGGCCAATCGAAACATTTTGGGCTCTTTCAAAGGGATATCTACGGAAACACTTTAAGGCAGCGAAATCAATCGAAGAATTTGAAAAAGACTGAAGAAAAATTGCCAAATTTATCGCCAATATGTGCTGAAGCTCATGGGCAGCGTCAAATCAAAAGTTCGCTCCTTGGCATATATATGAAATAAAAATTTTGAGGTCATTATCATTGTTTTGTTCGAATAATAAACTGTGCTTATACTTTCTGGGACACCCTACCCCACCCTATACTGATGTTTTGAAGAATGTTTTGCCATTTGGACACTAGTTCGAAGCAATATGAACTGCAATGAATATGTTATATACGAAAAGAACGGTTTTCCATTAAATAAAACTCATCTAATTCCTGTTTCTGTATGTTTTTGCAAGAAATGTTGAATAAAACGCACTTAAACAGTTCTATTCCTATTGATTTTGTCGTGGGCTGTGGTGGAAAATGGTAGTAAATTGTAATTAAGTGACACAATTACCTTTTTTGCGAACTAGTGAGCTATAATATTCATCAAATTTATGCGTAACAAAACAGTTGAATTGTATAGAAAATAATTCTTCCGTTAAAACATTTATTAATGAGTTTTCTCAAGGGGGAGGTCACTCCGCACAACAGTCTAGGGTCATTTTTTTGTCAGTGTGCTGCAAGTGTGCCACAGGTGTGCCGATTGTGCCGGTCATAGAGCAAGCTACGATTGTTTGTTAAATATCCATCCTGGCAACCCGGTATTTCTGACACCTTGAATGTTTTGGTTTTAAATCGCAAGAATAAATCGGATTGAGAATGACGCGGGAAGTGGTGGGTGTGCAAAATTCAATTTTTTTTTTGTGTTCACCTGATAATAAAAGTCCTGTGTCTTAGGGTTTTATAATGCCCTCAAAAGCAGACCAGAAACCTAGCCTTTTGTGATGTGAAAAGCAACGGATCTATAAATGAACTGCTGATCTGAGTCAGTCAAACAGCACGTAATGTTGTGAACAACTTCAATGACAGTTGTCCAGCAGTGCCCCTTTTTTTATTTACAACAATCAAATGCCTACGGGATTGTGTCGAAGGTATGCCGAAGGTTCACCGAATGTGTGCCGATGGATGTGCCCAAGCTGTGCTGAATCTAATTTCGGCACAATGTGCTGAGTGACTAACCCCTTGGGTTTTCCTCGAAAAACATTCCTTATATCAATGAAATTAAGAAATATTCACCTAGCGTTGTTTCTTGTTTTGATATTTTCTAAAACTTTGCCAAACACACCAATCCTGAAATTTTTTTTTTTTTTTTTTTAAACCATTTTGGATCTCACTTCTAAGTCGATTAATCATTGATCTGTCAATGCCAAAAGAAGAGACTTTTCATATACAGAAACTTTCCCTAATAAGACACCACCAGTCTGAAATGCAAAATTCAACGAGATAATGACTTTCTGGACCACTGTGCGTCCAACAATTCTCTTATGCATTTTGATGCACAGATTTTATTAATGAAGTGCATGTTGATCGGTATTTCTGCGTTTAGTAAGTTTAGATTTAAAAAAAAAACAAATCGGCTTTCAGAGCTGTCCGGCCTGAAATGACTTACATTTTTGCCAAAAATCAATAACGGAGCTAAACATATTTACCGAATCATATGTAGCACGGCCTCCAAACTAATCTGGTGCAGCCAAAATATTTGCATATCCCATAAACAGTGAGTACCGTAAGAATTATCGTATTGGCTTAAATCGAACTAAATACGGAATAAGTCTCTCGTGCCGAACTGGCAGCCGTGTGTAGGAAGTAGGAAGCATTAGAGCCGGACGCCACCACATCACCACTCCGAGGCAAAGCAGCCTATTTGTAAATCGCTTTATCATTATCCACAGCCCCATCCAACGGTGTTTGGTTCAGCTTTTTCTACTCTACCTTCCTACGCCACTCGGAACCATCCGAGCAAATTAAGGCTATTTTTTAGGAGATTTTCGACCGATGAACTACTAGCTATCCACCAATGGTGTGGCGAGGCAACGTGACCTGGGAGAATAAGTTCTTTGTTTGATTGTTTGGTTGGCTGACTTATTGCTACAGCATGAGTAATGAATAAGTTGCCACTTGGAAGCGAAGAATAAATCTCAATCAATCAGTCGAAGTCGTTTTTTTTTCCTGCGATAGACACGATTGCTTCAGCAAAAAATCCGATTTGCGATTTTCCAATTTCATCATTTCTCGATGATCTGTCGCAATTTGGCGTTTCTAAACGCCCTTCCCGTGGATATGGATCTGTTGTGGCAGGCAATATTTTCCATCCGATTTATCACGTGTGCCTAATTGGATTCCCTGCCGTGCTTCGATTCACAATTTACCTTAGGGGGTTGGGACTTTTTCCACATCCATACTGTAAACTGTTTCCAGAGCGAACATTTCGAGCGATATCAGTTTCTCTGTATGTAGGGTAAGGTGGGGCAAGATGGGTCGTCTACTTGTTTTAATTATTCGTTTGTTTGCTAATATCATCAAGCTCAATGTAGCCCCTAGTGAGGGTTTGAAAAAGATTTCGACAAACAAATAAGTTGATAAATGTACTAGCTGTCCCCGTGATCATCTTACCCCACCCTACCCTACATCTACCATCCATCGTCTAATATGTTTTTTTTGCCCTTTCAGATCCCACAATCGATTTGCAGGGCTTAACCAAATATTTCCGGGTGATTGCGAGCTGCTTTTCCCGCCGGTACGTTCCCGAACCGAAGCTGGGCCGCCTCGGCACGTACGACCTGGAAGCGTTCAACAAAAAGTTAACCAAATACCGACCAGGTAAGAGTTCTGGAATGATTGGATTGGATTTGTGTTCCGATGTGTAGTTTGTGCAATAGCTTTGGCAATCGAAAAAAAAAAGTGTGGCAGATATGGATGTTACCGCGACCAGGCCGGATCTCTGCTTGCAATGTTTAATTTCACATGAATGGATACATCTCGATCGATACCTTCCAATCCTGGTCAGCAGCGTGTTGCGTTCGCTCCGTATCGCGGAGTCGTCAATATATGCAATAAAACTCCGTTTAACGGTGCTGTGGCCCTGCTCGAATGCCATTACGAGCGTACGCGTTTACACTATTAAACATTATTGCAGTTTAAAGCACTAAACTAAACTACTACCACTGACGGAGTCAGGGGGGGTGACCCAAAGGGACTTTTAGTAAGGGTTCGTTGAGAAGTGTACAGAGCCGCCCATGACTACTCAGCCTAGCTCTTGGCCAAGTTGTTGATAGCTCTGTCCAACTCAGCAGCCAGTTACCAGTGCAATGGTTTCGATTTGGTTCGGATACCGTCTGAATTTATGGCTGTTTACGATCCAAAACGAAACGAAATCAAAATAATTTCCATGCATAAATTTACATAAAAGTAAATTTTTCTTATATTTTCCAATCTCTCTCTCTTACGGTCGATCGATGGCACCACCAGTGCGGCCACTGCCATCTGTACCGCGTCTCTTCTTTTTCGTTGTATTTTTCTTTAATCCAAACTCTCCTACACTCTCCCTCTAATTGGAGTCTGGTGGTCGAGTTCGACGGAATTGCTGTGCAGCCGCAAGTACAAGGGGCAAGAGGGATGCCGAGGGGGAGGCAAATAAGTGATAACAAATGCACCTGCCCGCGTCGGATTGGCCAGGAGAGCAACGGATCGATGGAATCGAGTCTGCTACCATGTTCGTTCACTCTCGATTTTTTCCACAGCCTCCATATCGACGAGTAATTTTTTGATTGCATCAATTTCAATCCAATTTTTGCATCCCCCCCGATGTTCATGTGAATTTTGAAACTTTTCTCTCTTTCTTTCGTTCTCGTTCTTCGTCTGCTGCTGTGACGTGTGCATTATAATTAACAAGTGACTCGATTGGACAAGGAAATCCACGAATGTGATGGAATACTGTATCCCGATGTGGCCTTTCTGCCGATCAAGCTCGATCCGGTGACGTTTCTGCATCAAGACTTCGGACAGGTGAGTACGACTTTCAGATAAGTAGTTTTCAAAATGACGCTTTATTTCCATTGATTATGATGTTAGATTTGTTGTTACATTTCAAGTGATTTAGCCAATCTTTGACATAAGTTGACAGGGAGCCCGTACTCAATCACTGGGCGGTTGATTTGCTTGAAGACAGCAAGCTTGTTCTTCAGACTCAGTTTTGATTTTCGACAGATAAGAGGGAACATTTGCTTGATGAGCAGACCTGAAGATCAAAATGCGCTGTCCAAAATCGAAGATCGACTCAGTGTTCTGATTAAACAATCCTTGTAGATGAGAGCAGTGTAATCGGCGAACAGAGAGGGCTTGTCTCCTCCATGACGGAGGTTTTAGAAGTAAAGGGTGTCCACAGTTAAATTGCATCACTTAGAAGTACTCGCTAAAAATAAGTCTCTCGACCGATTGTCATGAAATTTTCAAGGAATGTAATACTATGCTTGGTTTACGTAGAATCAAATGTAAATGCTCGAATCTTCTTCTTAAGGGGAAGTTCACCGCTTCGAAAAAAATAATTACGTTTTGATTTTTCTAAAAATATTGAAAAAAAGTATCAAAAATCTAAAAAAATCACATTTTTTCTAATTTTATAAATGTTTTATAAGTCATTATGGCATAAAGTTGGACTCAAAAAACCACAAAACATCAACTTTTCGGTTTTTCTGAGAGTCCAATTTTTTTTCATGATGGGATAGAAAAAATTTTTTTGCATGTAATTTTTGACAAAAATCTAAGGAAGAAACTGATTTTCTTGGATTTTTGATAATTTTTCCCAATATTTTTAGAAAAATAAAAACGTACCGAAAATATTTTTTTTATTTTTGGGCCGGTGAGCTTCCTTTTAATTCCACCCATAAGGTTTTGTACAACGGTTGAATCGACATTTTTTTCTCCTTTCAACCATGATTTCAACATTTCCTACTCGATAGTGACAACTTTAGGATGCTTACGGAGTTCGTGCTTCATTATAGCCCAGTATCTTTCGATCGGCCGCAACTCCAGTGTGCTTGGGGATGTAGATCCATAGGTACGCAATTGACCCATTTGTCTTGTACCACTCCAAAACGTCCTTGGAGTACTGACAAGAGACTAGATCCGGCCAAAAAATTGTAGGAACGTTGTGTGATTTGATAAACGGAAGCAGTCGTTTCTTCAGGCACTCATACATGTACATTAGACTGATGCAAAATTTGAAATTTTGCTCCACAGTGCTCAAACGGTTTCAAATTGGGCCCTGATTAGCCTCCCAAAACTTGAACTTTTTTAGTGAGAAACTGACTTGGCACAAACCATTTGAAGTTTATATATAAATTACTTTGGGAAAACAAAACTTTTTGTTCATTGTCTTCTAGCCTTTTAACATATTGTACTGTTAACAAATTATATTGCTATTATTATGGGAATTTTTATCAGCTACGACTTTGCAGAAAATTGTTTTTCAGCCAAACGTCAAATTAAATAGTTATTAATTGTTTAAGAGATTGATAATCTTATGGCAAGATTAAGCAACTGTATTGAGGGCAACACTGTATTCTGCAGTGTGACATAGTAGCCATGATTTTTGTCCTCTATTCTACGCGCCATAAACACCAATGTTGCTTGCTGAACAGATGATTGAGCATAATCATAAGACATCAGTGACTTGAAAGATTAATAACTTTTGCTCCTTACATTTGATCGAAAAGTGGTCTTCACCAAAGTTGTAGATGAGAAAATTTTCAACAAGCTCAGCTATTATTTTCTAAAGTAGAGGGAGCTGATGAATTTTGAGATAGATATCAACCGAAATTATAGTTTCTTCATAGTAATTCCCATATATAACTTCAAATGGTTTGTGCCAAGTCAGTTAAAATGAGTTCAAATTTTGGGAGGCTAATAAGGGCCCAATTTGGAACCGTTTGAGCACTGTGGAGCGAAAATTTCAAATTTTGCATCAGTCTAATGTACATACATACATACGTACACTTGGTTATTTACAGTTGTAGTTGTTACGAAAGGCTTGCTCCGTTTTTCGCCCGAACAAATCGCCTGCCAAATTATAAATTTCTTGGGAAACATCGACACTTGCTTTTTCCTGAGGGACTCTGAAACATCGAACTTGTCTTTCGCTGTCACATACTGATGTCCCGGAATTTGTCTGAATCTGTTTTTGCATTGCCAAGTCATTTTCAGAAAAATCTGGACCAGTTAAAATATAAAATCCGGAAAAATCTGGAATGCTCAAAAAAATCTTGTTTTTAACATAATTCTATTGAAATCAAAGTGATCTGCTGATCTCCCGTAAACATCGGTCAGTATGATCATCTGAAATTTATTCAAAGTACCAGAAGGTTTATGAATTCCATGTTTAAAAAATTATAAAATTATATAAAGCAAACTTGTTAGTATTGCTAAAATCATCTCAAAGTTAAGTTAAGTATTGACACAGTGTACCCATAAAGTTTAAATATCTATTAATTTCAAAATTGAGTTAAATTGTTGGTAAAATCCTGCAGAAAATATTTTCAGGATTCTGAAGCAGCAAAGAATCAAGCGACTTTGATGGGATGATTTTTTAAACTAATAGTCGATTTAGTCCTTACTATTTCATGCAGTACCAGAATATGTCTTGAAGATTTTTTTTTGTCTAAATAATTCTAATATTACCCTGAGGTTAATCAGACTTAAAATTTAATTCTTGACATCATACAACTCACAACACCCGGTAGACCAGTAGGCAATTTTATTTTAAACTAAAATTCTCCTGGCTGAAGTGAGAATCAAAGCCTAACATCGTGGTACTCACACATAGTTTACCTAAACTACGGGTAACTCCACGTGATCATTACAAATAATTTTATGCCAAAGAATAATTTTATTATATAACTAAAATGAAATTCTGAAAGCGTCATTTTTGAATTCTCAAGATCTTGAAATGATTCTAAATTATGGAATTTATATTTTTCCTGGGTCCCAGATCATTGAATTTTTTGTTAGCCTGAATTTACTTGGAACTCTTCACTGAATATCTTCGTCCTTTTTTCAGAGTTCAGTTTGAATCATCCTAGAATTTCATCATACTTCTTTTCTGGATTCCCCTAAACTAATCTTGATAATATCCAAACTTTTTCAGGAACATTCTAAGCGTGCTTAGCATTATCTCTTGTAATCTCTTATAAATTGCTCTCTCATTTCACAATTTTCTCAAACTGGTAATAAATTCCAAGAATTGGCATAATTTTGTCTCAATTTTTCTCTATGAAATTCCCTTGGAATATTCTTAATAATTTCCTTGGTATGCTCTTCAGAATGACCGTCACATTCTTCTCAGACCTATCCTTTGAACTGCTTTGTAGGTAAGATCAGAATTGTTTTGAAATCCTCTTCAGTATTTCCTAAGTGCTTAAAATATTTGATAAAAATGAATCTCCACAGAAACATTGGACAGAATTCCATTGAAATCATTCTCCCGATTCGTATCAGCATTCTCCTTAGGTTTCATCTTCAGAATTTTCTATGATTTCTCTTCCGAATTTTAACTATTCACTTTCTTCGCAAAATCTCCATGCAATTGTCATCTGAGTTTGTAAAGGACAATTGACACTGTTTTCAACCAGAGGTTGCACAGACTCCATACTCACACTTCACTGTAAACTATTTTGAGAGATACCTTACAATTCTGAAATCTAGGGCAATTCAGTATTCTAAAGTATTTCAGACTGCTAAGGTAACTCAATGTTCACAGGTACTTTAATAAAAAAAATGCTAATTATTATCAGATTCCTTTAAAATTCTCCTTAAAAATCTACTTAATTATTCTTAAAAACATCACGAACATGCTTCGAATTCAAAAACCTAGCTAATTTTTCAAAGCTCAATTTATTGTTTTCTATCCTGAACATTTTTCGATTTCTTCAAATTCCAAAATTAGGAAAATTCATCCATACTGAATATTTTTATTTTTATGAATCCAGGATTTAAAAAAAAATATATATATATATAGCCAACTAAACAAAAACTCCAAACACAAAAAGATCCTGGCTCAATATTTTTTTTAAATTTGAAGATTGTTTTCAGCCAATAATCTTTAGACAATGTCTCAATTTTCATGATTCTGCAACCCATTGCAAACATGTTGTAACCATGCTAGGTTTACACAGTTTTGGTCACGAACTGCTCATTTGCTAATAACTTTGCACACAGTTTTCAAAAAACAGTTATGTTTGAAGCAGTAGATAGAATAAAATTAGAGCTTGTAATAGGTACGTAAGAAAAAGTAGATTTTTATTCTAGCAATAAACTGTATTTGTTTATGCGTTGTAAAAATCAATAAATGTTCGCTGCACATCTCGGACTTTATGTATAAAAATTCATTGGTGTTTATTCAAATGTTAAGACTTACCTACTCTTTGCATATCTATAGTATTTTTGTTTTTCTTTATTAGAGTGACTTTCAGTCACTGGCTGGTTCGTCACATACCTATAGTAAACTATGACCCTTATCTATCAATTACTTTAAAGAAAATCAATTTTCAATAACTGAGTGAAAAGTTATTAACAAATGAGCAGTTGGTGTATACAACTGTGCATGGTTGTGCAATAATGTCCAACCTTGATGACCTTTAGTAATTCAAGTAGTAAGTTTGGCTTTTTATTTATTGATTAGAGGGTCCATCAATTGTAGTGATATTTTTAAAGCAACGCATTTTAAAAATCTGGAACATATTTGATAAATCTGGAATACTGGCAACGCTGGTTTCATTGTCCATGATACAGTAGTGTGGTTTGGTCAACATTTGTGTGTACAGCTTACATGCTTGCGTTCTAGCTGTCCTTTTCTGTCGTTCATTGCGGTTTGGTGCTTTCTGAACCTTGAATGAACGTAGTCCTGCTCGCTTGTGATCTTCAACGCAGTATGGAACACTTTTTCTTGCACTCGCTTGCTTCCGATCGACAGTTAAACGTTTTATGACATGAAAAACAGTAGATTGTTGGAT